TTACCAGAACGCCAACACCGGCCTGAGCGCGAGTCGTGATATCGACTCCTGAGTGGAACAGCTTCCAACCATTGAGGTTCAGGAGTTCAGAGCCTGGCAGCGTTTTGTTGACAGGAGTCCAACAATGTCGAGTTGGTACTTCGTGGCCTCATCAACTAGTTCTTGCTCTTTTCCTCTGAGTGAGAATATGTTCCAATTTCCGTCTTTAAGCTCCCACTGTTTGCGTCTATTTCGTGGAGCCTTTTCTGAAGTGCTGTAATGGCATCGCGCTGTCTGCCTACTCCGTTCAGAACGGGTAGCGACTCCGTTGCTGACTGATATCTTCATCGTCGTTGCGTCGGTCTTCGTCAGCCGTCGTTGTGCTGCCACGTCCCCGGCTGGTAGAGGGCAATGAGCAGGTTCTGATCGCCGACTTTTCGCAGTCTGCTTCAGTCCCCCAACAGCCTGCGCTGCCCTTGGTAACCCAGGCGACAACCGAGCCGGTATAATTTTCGAAGGCGTCAATACCATAAGTGGCAGGTGGCTGAAATTTACGGAGACTTGCCACGGTCTCCACCCTCCTCCTTTCTCATCCGGGTTTGAGACCGGCAATGGCGGATTTGGGATATTTTGATATTCTGCCTTTTTTCGCTGCAGGTGACGATAACAACAATAGCAGTAATGCAACCTGAACATCAGTTAGTACCGGATAGTAGGCTTTATTACTAACGCGACAGCTAGGAAGAATAATTTTCAACATAGTTTACTTTGATATGCTGTCTTTTGATCAGTGTTCCTTCTCTACAATGTGGACGGCAAATTGACTTTGTTCGTATGTAATATAGTTTATAGTTTGAAACAATGTTTAACTGAGTTCAGTTTTTAGAATAATTTGTACGTTTTTGGTGGTATCGTTCATGACCGCAATGTAACGGCAGAGTTGTGGATGTTGTCGATGGAAAATTACACTTGGTACCTTATCAAAGACAGTGGTATTTCCCGCGCAGTACCCGTCGCTGGGCATACAGCTCACGTGATTGGCGATACGATGATCACTATCTTCGGATACAGTCCTGATTATGGCCTGCTGAACTACGTTCAAGAATATAATTTTTGTGAGTTTGAACAATATTAGACTAATTTTGAACGCCCAGAATATGTTGTATATTTCTGACAGATTTTCAATATTTAGTTCTTTGGTAATATTTGGCTTTAGTAAATTTAAGGTTTTTCTCGCCACTGAATTTTCTTCTTAAGAAATTCTTCAGATTTCTGATGACGAATAGAATGTTTCTGTATTTTTTTTCCGATCAGTATTGCTCCTTTAGATCATTGTCCAGTTCTTGTCCATTTTTATGTAATAAAATTATTAACGAAGATTCACTAGTGTTAAGTCCTTAACCGCTATTCGTGTATTCATATTTCTAAAACTTCAGAAATGCTCTCTGCTCCCTCCTTGGCGATCCAATCTTTACCTTCCCAGTTACTCATTGATCAGCTTAAAAATGCTCAAAACCATATTGCTTCGAATGCTGCAATTTTCCGCAGTCATTTCGCTAAAGGTGGACGACCTTCAGTCATTCGTGCAATCATGATTTTCATCTAGGTTTAAACCAGTGTCAGCCAGTCAGTCAGTTTTGACCACGGTTTGTCCCTTAAGGAAGGCGGAGGGAACAACGCCTGAGTGCCTCCAACGTTCCCGATCATGCACCAGCGTCTGAATTTCGGCGGAAGGATGGCATTCAGCTGTGACTTCTCAATCTGGAGAAACAGCAGATGAACGCCATGGCATTAAATCAATGATTTTAAATAACATCTGCTGTAACTTAGTAATTAGCGTTGTAAACTGACTTTTTCCCCTATCTTTAAGTTTTCCTCAGCTTGAATATGTGAGCTTAATAGCATTTGCCTTAGTTTGAAATGTTCGTGCACATATGTAAAATCCGTATCATAAACGGAATTCTCTTGATCTCTAGAGATGATTTTATATTTTTTTCATTGTGTTCACAATTAAATATATTGGTTTAGTGTGTCTATGTATTTATTAATATTCATGAATATTTTACCAGAGTAGATGCATTAGTGCTTTTTTTCGAATACCTACTTATTTTATTTTTTGTTTCAGTGAACAATAGTTGGAAAATCGTTAAGACCGTTGGGGCTCGAACACAAGGTCTCTTTGGTCATACCTCAGTTCGAGATGTCCATTCAGGGTTGATCTACGTTTACGGCGGCTATACAACCATATCCTATTCGTCTAGTCATGTGACGGATAAACTGTACCAGTACGATTCCGTGAGAAAACGATGGTAAATTATATTTATGAGCTTATACTAACTGAATTGTTTATGATTGACTTCACTCATTAGATGACGAAACCGGAGTTATGTTGCGCAATCGGTAGAGTTTAAGACTCAAAACCAAGAGTTCGCGGATTCTAGTTGGACCAGGTCACTCACCTGTCTTCCTTTTGAGGTAGATAAATGAGTGCGACTCGGTGGCCGACTATACACTGAGCTTGACTCAAAGGTGCATCGACTTTTCCTTTAAAAATTAAGGCATTCCTGGTTGATGCCATAGAAATGGTGATCAACTCCTCACCATTGACTTCATGAAAGAAGGGCGCCAGAAATGACCCCATCATGAATGTATAAGATGGTCTGACATTCCAACCGTTGCAAACTTTGCTTCCTGCCTTTCATACATTAGATGCAATTTGCTTCACGTTTTAATTTTATCTTCTGAACAAAATGTTAATTGTTTTATTGATTATTAAAGCCTGTCTGTGACACAAGTGCCGTCCTTTGTGCAGGTGTCAGAAATGGGTCCATTCCAAAGGATTATTGTAGTGTGGCAAGACTTGATCAAATATGGTTGATGCAACGGCATAATGAGAAAATCAGACTTGTCTCGTTTGTAGGTTAATATTAGAAGCGACCCTTATTCCCTTCGTATAATACGAGTATCTTTCTTACTGAAAATTTCGCTTTAAAATTATCAGGAGAGTATCAGTCTGCGGTTGTCATTGCCGTGTTAGCTAACCGTTTCGTGGTTCACGGCAGACCTGTACGGTTATCAAGGCGGTAGTAGGGAATATGTATGTACATTGTCCTGGTCTGCAGTTTAGCATTTTGGTTTTATCGTCCTTTCTGCCATACTGCGGATACGGAGGGTAAGGGAGTGGGCAATTTTGTTAGATATAACAATGTTTAATGTAATTTTTATTAACTGCGTCATGCTTAGACATGTAGAGAGGCTACTTTATTTCCTAATTCGATTGTCTCTAATTGAAATATTGCCAAATATTCAAATAATTAATGCCGTCAACTGGTGTTAACGTTAATTTTTCTAGGGGGCTGCTCCGAAGTTCCGGCTTCAGTTCGCTTTTGCACAGTGCCGCAATCGTAAGCGGAATCATGATCATTTTCGGAGGGAATTTTCGCAACGAAACCGTTCAAGGTCGGGCTAATCAGTGCTATTCTGACGTGGTTCTGACGTACGATATTGGTAAGCAATTGTTTGACTGTTTTTCATTGGGGACATTAGATCTGCGCGGAAACTAACGTTTTTCAGAATTTGCTTGTGAAGCTGGGACTGCCACTGGATGTGACTTGGATGCTCGCGGATTGTTACCATTCAAGTTAAGAGACAGTCAAGCTCGTCATCCAGTCACTCTTTCATTCATTCATTTTTGATGCACTCGCTAATTCATTTACTCACCCATTCATTCGTTCATTCATTCATTCATTCAGTCTGTCCGTTTTCATGGCAAGTCTTCGTCACTCGCAACGCTGACGACAAATGCATTTAAGCGATAGATGATTGCGTATGAACTTCTTACACACATCATTTTTCATCCACTCCGTGTCACTGACGAGATTTTAGATTTTTAAGGAGAGTTTATTGTCCGTAATACTTATATAGATATAGATGCAGTGCTGTAGCATCGGCACAAAACAGGCGAGCTTTAATCACTACAAAGCAACCAGGTTTTTCTCAGATGGCAGCTTGGTCGTTATCATGTGGTTGACAGCTTAATTTTGCTCATACATACATATACTAAGCATTTTACGTCTGTTTACCGTAATGATCAAACTGAATTTTGCTAAGTTTTTTAAAATATATTTATATGTGCTTAATTGTATGAATTTGTAGTCCCGTTTGTATACAGTTGTAAACTGGTGCTTATGGACAATTCAATCTACGTTATTTGAACTTTTTGTTTAGAGTGTGGCACGTGGAACAAACTGGTCTATCCGACGTACTTGCATAGCGGCGTATCGCGCTACGGTCACAGAAGCGTTGTTTACGATGGGTATTTTTTTCATTTTGATTTTTTATCTCAGTCAT